AAGTAAGAGTTTTATAGCACTTGCAACACAACTTAATAAGAGCCAGAGATTAGGTGTTGTCACTTGAGAGTAAGAAACAAATAAAGTAGGAAAGTTAAGTAAAAGGAAGACAGATGTTTGATAGAAAAGGCAGGAGCAAACCACACCGGAGCACTGGTCAACCAACTGCTGCTTTGTTGACTTTAGCATCCGAAAGCGAGCATACACTATACAGTGCAGCCTTTCTTAGCTCTACTATAACGACATTGTTGGGACCAGAATTTTTTGGGGTTATATTAGAGTTGTTATAGAAACACAGAAAAATTACGGAACTAATGATATAAAGAAAAAATCGTGACCTGGGCACCAAGTACACTATACAGAGGATGTCGTTATAGTAGAGAGGCCACAGAGGCTGCACTGTATCATGATGTATGTAAAGTTGACATGGAATTCATTAAACAATAAAGTGAAGATACCTCGAACCTAGGGTAAATCAAGATCAGCTTCCTCCAGCTGAAAGAATTGAACAAGCAAAATCCACCTTAGATACCCCTTGGAAATCCACTTGTAATTGTTGGTCACAGGTGCTTACTGAATTTTTCTTCTACAAATTGAGCTTCACAAACTGCACTTGGCATTGCTTGTTTAGTGGTCAGACTCAATGATAAGGTTGTGGGTTCAAACCCTGCAGGGACCCTGAGCAGTTTACACGAGTTTTCCTCCATTCACCCAGGCGGGAATGGGCACCTGGCTATACTATCACAGCAAAAGATCTTGTAAGTGCTTCTTGGGTGTGCTTAACTTTAACTTGCACCAAATGCTTCCTTGAAAGCCAAGGATGTCTCTAATTTTTCCGGGGTCTTCTGGGGTAAATAATTGTAAGGCACATAGAGGCATGCTGAAGCTTGTGGTATGGACCATAAGTTTTATGCAGTTATAAACCAACATAGTATAGGCTACCTTTGTTGGAGCATCGGAGATCCTTCTATCGTTCTGGCATACTCCTTAGTCATATTACTATGCCCTAAGCCAAACTAAGCACAGTTCTTTTGTGCTACGACTTTCTTGGGTGAATTTCTGGGTCGAAAAAGCCAATTTGGATTCATTTAAGTAAGGAGATACACATCGACAATAATGGTAATTTAGTGCTGGGAAAAAGTAAGACAGAAATAAAAGGGAAAGTAAAGAAGTAGGATCTACCAGTGGCGCCCTCCAACCACATGAACCAATTTTAGTTTTAGCAAGAGATTTATGGCACATGTAACACAATAAGGTCATGTAAGTGCCGAAGAATAGATTATGCGTTACAAGAGAGTAACATACACACAAAAAAAGAGGGGAGAAAAGGATGACAGATGTTTTAGTTCTAGTAGAGGTTTTACTGCGCTCGCAACTGCATAAGGTCATATGAGCGCCTGAAGATTAGGTGTTACAAGAGAGTAACAAACAAAAAAGAAGGGGGGATAAGGACAATAGATGTTTGGTAGGAAAGAAACACAGCACCGCCACCCCCCACGACAGATGTTTGATTGGAAAGAAGGAGCAAACAACACCACAGCACTGGCCAACCAATGAAATGTACACCTCACAGCAACCATATGTACCATACGCTAAACCCGGGACAGTGGTCGTAATTTGTTTAGGAGGACAAAACAACCAATCTAACCATAAAAATGATAGTCCCCACCTTCCGTCGCACATAATCAAGGAATTATGTGAAAGAAACCACAATGTGTACACAAACGCGCAACGATAGAACACGAGAAAGGAGTGAACAACACAGAAATTTAGACGATCACTTTACACCTTTAATTTATTTTGTTGCAACAGCTGAAGAGGCCGGGGCTGCTGCCTTGTTTCTAGGTTTGGGCACAGTTCCCTCACGGAAACCGTTTCTGAAAAAAAAAAAAAAGAAAGAAAAAAGAACGCTAAAATAATTTTACTGAACTGAACATTGGAAGAGATCAATCTCTGAAAATATTACTTCAACATAATATATACAAATTTCAAACAAATCATTTCCATGCATATGACCAACAAGTTAAAAATGAAAGTGACAATTTTGAGAACCTCATAATCCTTAAGCACTAAGTGACCTTGATGCATCATGTCACCAAATTCAAAATTAACAATGAATTAAAAAGAAAGTTATTGTCTTAAAATTTAGATAGCACCAAATCAGGCCCACTGTGAACAACTTACATCGATTCAGAAAATGAAACCAGATTTTAGCTGTGTACCACCTGCAAAGTTTAATCTCATGCAGTGATAAATTTCAAAGGGTTTCTGCGTCCCCGCTTGTCTCCCACAAGTCTAGAGATGTAGATTGCGTTTGACGCCGGGAAAAGCCGAATTAATATCACAATCGTGACCGGCAAAAATGAACTTTAAAGACGTTATCGGATTTGGTTTTCAAATAATATTCGAGATCTTTTATGTATTTTCCCGCGTCTTGGCGATTTTTTTCAAATCCCCGGGTAATTCCCGAGGCCTCGCAGTCACTCTGCTCCCAGCAACTCTCTTTCTGATTGACCAGCTGTTGCGGTAGCGGCGTTTAGCGGAATATTGAGACCCATGATTTAAACACCAAAGGCCAAATATATACCACGGGAAAGCCTGTTTAAAACTCTACAGTTCTCCGCCAATGAAAAGACGGCATTTAATCATCCCTCTTTCCGCGAAGCATTTGAACGCACGCGTGTACATTTTTTAACCGGTCGACCACGCGGGGTTTTGCTTTCTTCGGCGATTCTCCAGCTCCTAATAACCGGACATATAAACAACTTACACCATTGTAACGAGGAAAAGCTGAACCTTTACAAGGTTACGGCATTTGGTGTTTACAGCAAAAGAGCAAAGAAACAGAGATCGGAATTACACTGGTACCACGCGGCCGAGAGGCCCAGAGTGCCTGTGTTTACGCTACCTAACTTTGAGGACACTATAGAGGAAAAATAGATCTCTTACCATCTCAACGTCGAATATCAAGCTCCATATAGTTTTCGGTATACCTGATACGAAAGGCTTCTGACAAAAAATTTAAGATATACTATGTGTACAAACTTCAACGACCACATATCATTAGTTTGCCCTATTTTCTGATTGGTTGCCAAGTTTCATTCAAATTGGTCCAGAAATAGCGCAGAACGAGTTTCAGAAAGTAAGTCACTTACGTTCCAACCCGGTCCCAAAATTAACAGCGCGCGGAAGCCCGAATGGCACTGCTAGAATTTCTATCTAAAATCAAGTCAGCGTACTTGATCAATGCGTAAAGTTTCTTTCAGCGGAAACAGAATTCGTGAATGAAAGAAAGAAGGAAATTCACACAAAAAGTTCGCTTTCTTGGCTAGCCAGATTTTGACAAATCCACAAGTAGGTAAAATTGTATCGCCAAACAACCTGCAATGAATGCATAGTGGAATAATGATCAATTGCAGGAAATGTACAGTCCAGCAGGTTTCTCACGAACCTGTTGCCCTGAGAATCACCGGAAATATCAGGAACTTATACAAGATGATACGAGGGCGAGTACAAATCTTTTGCTTTAGAATTCTGGTAGCCATATATGCTATTGATGGAGTTGATAATGATGGGGGAGAAAGTATGGATTTCTGTAAAAGTACATAAGATTGGAAGCACCAACTAAACCACATAAAGTGCCCCGAAAGCTTGTAATTCTGCTCACCTGAACCGTCTGAAAACGACCTTCATGTGCCTCATCCTTCCAGTGCCAGTAGTCTTCCTTCTCTGGGCTTTCTTAGACCAGTTGTCTGGGGGGGCAAAAAGAAACTCATTAAATCATATTAACATTTCCTTCACAGTACCTCATAACAATGTTATTGAACCAAAGAAAAAACCACTCGAGAAAGAGTCACCATATTCAGGTCATCATCTTCAAATTACAAGATGAATAGATGACAACAAATTGTGTAGAATATCCTCAGAACAGATAATATACATACAATAACAACAACTGCATTTATAAAGTATAAAGAGCATAAAGCTCTACATGTTTTACAACGCGTATTATACCAGCAGACCCTAGAACAATCAGAAACATTCACAGCTTCCTGGGAAGCATACAGCGCAAGCAGCCAATTATAAAAGCACCCAAACCCTGACAAACTGACAAGATTTACTTTGTTGTCAATAGCCAGGTACTCATTCCCACTCCCACCTGAGTGAAGAGATAGGGTGTTCAGCGAAGACCCACTTAAAAAAATGCTCTCTCAAGATAAAAAACCATACCACCTATTTCTTGAAGCCATTATAATATAAAGGCGACAAGACTAACCTTTAACCAATAAATGAAAACTTTAATCAGGAAACATTGATTTAACCCTATCTATATATCGTGTTTTACTTTACTATGGCATACCACCACTTTCCAAAGAGGAAAATTTCTCGTTAATCCAATCCGTACACTTTGCAAAGTAGTCTGTCAAATGATATTTTTGGAGAAATACTGAAAGGTTTCAAAGATATCCTCCCACTAGAAGTATTCTAAAGTAAAGGCTGGCACTATTTCTGCGAATGTTCGGGAAAATAAAGCTAGGCACTATTTCTCCGAACACTCTGAAATCACATCCTTTCCCGCAAACTTCGGATATATATACAGATCTATAATTATATTACAGGCCTACCAAAGATTGTTCGTATACAATATGGTTCAATCGGTCCAAAAAATGTCAGCAGTCAATATTTATAAAGAAAAGCTACAGTTCCAAACAGTTTTTCGCTACAGATATGACGTGTTGCCTATGAAGGGTGCTGCTCTTAAACTTAATGTGTTGTGATCACACGTGTGCTGTCTAGATCTAGACCTATGGATGGGGGGTTATTGATAACGGAACGACAAATAGAACTAGCATCTGTGTTTGTCAAGTTTTTGGTCCCCGAATAATAAAAGTCAAATAAATTTATTTTAAAAAAGAAACCGAACCTCCTTACTTTTGAAACAAAGTTCACTTAGCTTCACTTCGTTTCTTTCTCACTTGTCACCCCGTTGATTTGTTGAATACGTTCCAGTTACATACATACGATTTGTATTGCTGCTCCTCTTTTATTTTGTTGGTGCGTAATTTTTTCTCTCATTATTGTTCTGATGTGTTGTTTTTCTATTATTTTTTTTTGTTGGGGAAAAAAAGGGTGTGTGTGTATTGTACAGTGTAACGTCATTCAATTTAGTTTAGTTTAGTTAAGTAGGGTTTTTTCGGTGCTTGCAACTGCATAAGGTCACATGAGCGCCAGAAGATTAGAGCTGTTACAAGAGAGTAACAAACAAAAAAGATGAAGGGGAGATAAGGACGGTAGATGTTTGATAGGAAAGAAGAAGCAAACCACACCAGAGCACCCGCCAACCACCCACATCATTCAATTTGATGTTTCTACCTTCATTAGATTCTAAATATATATACATATGTATGTATATATAGAGATTTAAATGTGTTTTGTTAGAACGTTCCACTAAAACAGATTACATGGACTGACACTGGCAGGCCCCTTAATGTGTGTGATTCCATAATTTACATGTAATATCCTGTACTTAAAAAAAAAATTACCCACATTTAGGGTTAAAAGAGCCAATCTTCCTCGGACAGGTGGACACACGCCCTTATTTGTTAATTTTTGTGGTTGTTTATGGGCTGTTCTAATTTTGATTTCATACTGTTGTGAAACCTTTCTTTTTCCCGTTTTTACACTCATCTAAAAATCTGTAGACTATCTCTTGAAAATTGAAATAGATCTAGACCCAAAAATTTGCTCCTTCCCAGACCCCCCAGAATGGCAGAATGAAAGTTGGCGCCGAACTCTCGCAAATAGGCAAAAAATCAAGAGACCGGAAGCCGGAAACCGTTTGGAGAAATAGCCACTTCGTATGCTAAAATGTGAAGAATACAACCCTGGGGGCACAAAATGACCCCAGGGCGTATGGATAGGGCAAAATAAGGCGTCAATATCTGATGAGCCAGCACTGCTGTGACTCGACATGTCTAATGTAAGACCCATACTTAAGCCCAACTAGCTATTCAGAATTCAGATCTAATTGCATTATATCGGCCAGGTTCTCAAGGAAGATAGAGAAATCAAACAGCCAAAAGATGCAGACAGTGAGACTGCCAAACCGGCTTCTCAGTTTTCCGGGTGTGTGTGTGTGTGTGTGTTGTCGGTTATTTTAAGAATCAGTTTACATAACAATGACAGCACAGGCTCCCTATCTACATTATATTACAAAAATTGTTACTGCCTAGTCTAGATCTAGAATATTCTTTATCAGAATCAGCGCTTTGATGTTCATTTACATTGAAATCGGAATCCCCACGGTCTAAAATATCCAAAATTTTCTAAACTGTGAAAGTCGTAAAACACTTGATTTCGTGCTGCCAATTAGGTGGTTGGCGGGTGCTCTGGTGTGGTTTGCTCTTTTCCCATCAAACATATCTCGTCTTGATCTCTCCCCTCTTTTTGTGTTTGTTACTCTTTTGTGCCGTAGCTCTTACTAGAACTAAATGTGCTGCCGCACCATCGTACTGACGAAGTGTTGCGAGAACAGACACCAGTCAGAAAAATGAAAATAGGGCCTCAGTGCGACTAACTTTCCTTCCAATTCCGGTGAAACTGCACGAAACGAATATGTCAGCTGCAGTTAGAAATGGTTCACACAGTATTTGCGCAAATACTTTACAGAGGAAAAAATGCGAAACTTGTGTATGCCAAGGGTGCATGAACAGCCCCTTGGGAAAACATTGGTGCTCGAAATGCTGCGTGAAACGTCTAATCGAAATTCTAAAATTTGCTTCAGTGTTTGCCCTCTGGTGTTGCCTTCAGCAGCCAGTCTTATCTTTCAAAAGATCTATGCCCCCACCACCCCAACTTTGAATGAACTTTGGTGACCGTACACAAGTGCTGGCACTCACACGCAGATGCGAAGCGCGCAGGTTCACTGACCGGTGGCGATGGCAAGCCCGACAAGCCAAAAATCGAATGACGCTTGCAGATTTATTTGCACTAACAGTACGGCACTACTCAAGCGGCAGTGAACGGAGTTTTTTTTAACGACATTGTGCACTCTCTTCCGACATTTATCCGACTTTGCTGGAAACCATGAGGGGAAAATTTGCAGAAAAGTGCTTTTCCCAAGAATACGATATCTGACCATGTCAACACTGCCACCCCAATGACCCCCCCCCCCAATGGAACTAGCATTCAACTCAAGATTCACTGAAACGATTCCCATTTTCTTTTTTCCTCTACTCATTCAAATACGCTACATTCCACAAACCCATGCACAAATAAACTCGGGACTCAACAAAGTCACATGCAAAAGTGAGGTAAGGTTCTTTATGCTCTTTCGGTAGTCTCCCCCCCCCCCAATAAAAACATATGGGGGGAAGGGGCATGCCCCTCTGAATTTTACCATTGTTTGATGTTTTGCAGTAAGGTTTGACATCTCTCGCTCGCCGCTCATCAAACAGATTCTAGATCCAAATAAAGGGGGTGGGAACTACCAAAAGAGCGCCAGTTTTTTTGTAATTTGCCCAGCCACTGAAAAGCACTAAAACAGACGGGATCTACATAGACTAGATCTAGATATAACCATGGGCTCTGCTACCAGGTCTGTGGAACCAAATATTCGGTAGGTCAAGTAAAAATCAAAACTAGCCAGTGTATTATTAGGCAAACCGGCTGTCATATGATGTGTATGTTTAACTGCACTGTTACCAGCAGTAGAGGAAGAGATCACAGACTGTCTGCTTGTTTTGTTAGGATGGGGGTTTGGAAAAAACCAAGTAAAGGACATTGTAACCCCAGACCCAGTCTTGAGCCCTAGAAGCGCTCAGTGTTTCACTGGAAGTAACCCCCCAAAATGCCCTGCTACCACGGCTGATCGGTTGTAAACATAGGGGTTTGGCAGGGGGATATCAGCTAAGATACTAAAGATGCATAGGCTACCTGTTACTGAAAAATGACCATTTACGGCTCAACAGATGAAAAAAACAACAGGCCATATAAAACCATCCATATCTTTTCTTAAAGCTGATAGAATGAGCCATTCAAAAATGATATGCCTAAGTGATCAAACAAAACGCAATTAACTCAACAAAAACAATTAGGCTAGATCTAGAATCTAGATAGATCTATCTAGATTTCTTGATCATTGTCATTAGCACAGCGGAGCAAGGGAAAACACATAGCCTGCAGTCGCTCAGCTGGATCGCATCACTTTATCAAATTTATTGATCGATATCTTGGCCAAGACACGCTCTACAAGGTCAAGATAACTTGCAGAGTCATTGGTCACTAGATCTATTTATAACTTTGACCTGTAATTTCCCTCGTCCTGAAATTTTCCATTATTGAAAAAGGCCAGCGTCTAGCCTAAGACTAAGAGTAAAGTTAAAGGCTAAACGGGACCGCAATTGTACAGGAGTGCCCCCCCCCCCCACTCCTTGACCCCCGGGGGTAATATAACGAACCCCTATTCTTTCAAATTTGCGTGAAAATCATAGAAATCAGACTCACAATGCCTCTGACGGGGACTTGGGTAGCCACACCTTGCACACATTTTTTTCTGAATGTGAAAGGATCTGTGCCCACACCTTCGACAGAAAGTGTGGGTCTTATTGTGCCTCTTTCCAAAGCTGGACGTACCCTTAGTCTGAAAAGATAGAAAAGCTTGGAATAAATCGCAAAAAGGAACATGAACGTACAAAAACGAAATTGTTCAAGTCATTCAACAAAAAGATCAACAAGGCACTTCAACCTTTTGTGTAGGTATCGATAAAAGGAACAGCACAACATCCTTCAAATGATGATATTATATCTGCAACATTAAGCCATATACATTATAAATACCACCTCGACATTAACAAACTGACACTACTAGAGCAATATTGAACAATCACTCAATAAAAACAGCTCTAATGTGTCGATGTTCAAAGATTGGTTTATCAATAAATTCTGAAACCCACCATTTCGCTATGACTGAAAGTACAAAAAGGAAGTAGCTTTAAGTTAGCAGGAGTAACGTCCCTTGTTGCACTTGAGAATCACTTCCGTATGTCATATGTCACGACTGTTTACAGTGGCAACAAGGAAGTTACACGTGGAACAACACACGTAGTTATTTTAGCCGTGGTACTCATTTTTGTCACTATATATATTTTAATTTGTGTGTTAAAATGTGCTTACTATACCTAGTAATCCGGACTGACGCTTTGTGTGTTAAGACCAAGGAGAAAGAGAAAGATTCACCTTTCACAGACCAACTTGTTCAAAATGTGTGCAATGCTTGTTGAATCGCCCCTCGCTGCTGTCACTCCACTTTCAAACGTCAAGTGTGGTAAAAGAGAGACACAATCACGTTCATGTGAAAACGACAAGGAAGACTTGCCTTTGTTTTTGGCTTCTATACAAAATTTGCTCGTCAAGTACAAGATGTACAGCAAGTCACAAAATGTGCCTGTGGCCTCCGGAGGGTTACAGCAGTTCGTCACTCAAAAGTTGAAGAAGCAATCAGAGGGCTCCAACTTCAGCTTGATGAAAAGTTTGCGGGCTCTTTATGGCAGAAGTGAATCTGTCACTCTGCCAGTTGACGAAAATGAAAATGGTGAAATAGCCTTTTTTCAGTATTTACCGGTAAGTGGTCATTTTATTTGCTTTTGTTGTCACTGTAGGCTTAATTGAGGAATAGTGAATATTCTCACCGGGTGTGCGAATAAGAAATAATTTTATTCGCACAGGGTTGAACCTTCGTTGATTTTTGGACATCGTTTGTCTCACCTGGATATATCACCTTTTGGCAAAGGCTTTGAATGTTAAAACAACTGTACACTAAGTATATCAAACTTGTTTCAGTTTTTTTTAGGGTTAAAACATGCACTCGTCTCTCTGTATCCCTCTCTCTCTCTCCCTCTCTCTCTCTCTCTCTCTCTCTCTCTCTCTCTCTCTCTCTCTCTCTCTCTCTCTCTCTCTCTTTCTCTCAAGGCGCAAGGACAACAAAACTTGAATTCCAATTTCAGTGAGGGTTTTTCCTATATCGCATTGCACAATTAGAACTAGATCTAGATCTAGATCTCCGAAAAGTCCTCGCAGAAGTCCGCCCATTGCTTCAGATGGCGCTGGAGTCTTTGTTTTGAAGCTCTCTTTCATGCTGGAGTCTTTGTTTTGAAGCTCTCTTTCATTTCTCAAGAAGAAGAATAGGATATAAGCACAGTCTGTCAATTTCAGTTGTATTGTTTTTCACACAAGTACGGTAACCCGGCTGTTCGCAAAGTCAGCACTTTTTTGAAGATGGCACCAAATTTTGAGGAGATTTTTTAAAATTGGCTCAAAGAGAGGAGTGAACTATCTTACTATTCATGATCTTTGTTCCTACGCAGTGAGGGGGGGAGGGGATGAGGAAATGCTAGGTCTGTGATGATGGTAGTGTGGCAAGCACGGAAAAGGATAAAAAAAGCAGAGGCTGACAATAGTTTTTTCTGCTCAGTCTTCACGAGAGAGGACACAAGAGAAATACCCGAGTTTCAGCACAGAGATGTTAATTGTAAGATTGAAGACATATGCATATAACTAAAAAAGATGTGCTCAAGAAGCTTGCTAAGCTAAATTCCAACAAAGCTCAGGGTCCAGACAACATCCTATCATCCATCCTCAAACAATGCGCCACTGAACTAGCTGCCCTGCTGGCAACTCTAATGAATAGGTCACTGCAGGAAGGAGTTATACCATTTGAGTGGAAGCCAGCCCATGTTTCACCTATCTTCAAAAAAGGCCAAAAAAAACCACCCCAGGAAACTATCGTCCAGTGAGTCTAACGAGTGTGGCCTGTAAGTTATTGGAATCCATCATCAGACATCAGAGATTTACGACCAAATTAATTTGCTTTCATTCTATAACATCATTAATTTTTGTCTTTGTTTTTGTCAATTGGATCATCCACACAGATAGACAGTTCAGAAATTAGGAAAGTCTTGTTTCACACCGGGTGAGAATAGCCAACGCTGGCAAGTCTCGCCCTGGGTGAGAGTCGATTGCATTTTTAATTCTCACCCGGGGTGAGAATAGCCTCTTCCAATTGATAACAACGGCTAACATACTATAAGCTTTTATACTGGGCAACTGATGGAATGTTTCAGTGATTGAGATGTCAGAGAGACTGTCCTAATATTATGGAGAAAAGTGAAAAGGGGGGTGTGGGGGTGTGGAGGAGTGACCTGATGTGATTTGTTAATCGAAGTGGCTAGCCGCACGGCCTGCCAGTCTAGCCGTACTTAGGTTAGGCCCTTATTTTGACTGAAACCTGTTGAGTACACATGTCTCATAGTAGTTATTCAGGTTTAAAATACATGCATGTCAGTAAGGCACCTTTTGGTTTTGTCTGAAATACACTTTAGGTATTGCAGACTACAATTTTATTTACAATAGTATTTTTAGCTTTTTGTCAGACTAGCCGTACTTAGGTTAGGCCCTAGAACTATTGTCCAAAACCTTTTGAGTACATAACCTTTCATATTATAATTCATTTACAGCAGATAAATTTTTGCAATCCTTGTCACTTCAATGAATAGGTCTGTTGTTTTGTTTATTTTTTTTCTAGTGTATATATTATGTTTGATATTGTTATGAAAGGGCAATGTTGACCTGAATTTGGAACAATATTTGAAATAATAAGAAACAAGGCTAGTAAATTGTTTTAATATTACATATATTACATTTCCCAATTAAAACATTAATCCCGTTTTATTTTTTTTGCTCCATAGGTTGATCTGAAACTCTACATCTTCTCATTTCTTGATGCTAAAGCCCTCTGCATGGCATGTTGTGTCTGCCAAGAGTGGAGTCAGCTTACATGTGATGAGCTCTTGTGGCAACACCGGCTTCAATGTGACTTGAAAATGTGGCCCTTGATCTCTCATGTTACAAATCCTCAAATGTACTCGGACGTTGAATGTGAATGGTCAACTAAGGAAATGTAAGTTTCCATCCATTTTGTGTGACATCATTTATTTTCAGTTTAACATTGTTTTACACAAATAAATCATATATATGGCACTACTTTAAACTAAGTCTTCTGTTGATGTAGGAAATTTTCGTTGCAGTGGATGATCTTTTCTTGGAAATGTTTGCTGGCAAAAGATAAGTGAGAAAGAGAACTTGAAGGATTTTAAGCTAGTTTTGCAGGTGTTATATTATATTTTATGTATCTTTGTATAATAAATTTCCTTTTTGTTTTTTATAATGAGGATTTTTGTGCTAATTTTATATATATTAGACCTGCATGTTTGCCGACAATCGTCTGAAATCCGACAATCGCGACCCGACCCGCGAGCCGGTTGATGCTATCGCTAGGCCCACCTGTATCAGTCAATGTGCGAAGTACGAGGCCTGGCCGTCTGCCAGCGCCCCCCTTTTTCTCCCGTCGGCTTTGTCGGCACTTTCGTTTTTGCACTGACTGCCGACGTCGGCGTTTCCGGCATAATTGTCGGAACCTGAGTAGAAATGCGAATACGAAAAAGGATGACATCCTAAATTATCTACTTTCAGTTTCGTGCTTGAGCGGTCATTTTGAATTTCGTATGTTGACTAATTCAATTGTTCAGATCATGTGGATTCATTCAATTATTTCAAGTCCGACTTACTTGTTCTTATAGAATCTAGATCTAGATCATTATAGACCTCAATGGAAGATTCATTATATTCCAATTCTATTGTGTCAAACCCTATCATAGGTTGTGCTGTAATATTAATGTTGGTAAAAAGCATTTCATCAGGTGCGTGAATTATTTATTTATTTAGATTCTAGACTCGGCTGAGTCCCTCTGTTCAGAATCGGGTGCAGATTTCTAGTTCAAGGCCTATTCCTATTCACTTGTTCTACAAGATCAAGATCTAGATCTAGATAAATTTAGATTTCTAGATCTATATGGAGGATTCATTCCAATTCTATTGTGTTATTGTATCAAACCCTATTATAGCAATGTAGATGTAGGCCAACATAATTATGCCATATTATGCTCCTTGTTTGTTTTTGGAGTGTGGTTTTTAATTTTTTATTTTGGACTTGTGCTGGCCTTTTTACATATGGCCCGTTGCAGGTTCTTTTTTGGGGTAGGGTTAGAGTTAGGTCTCTTCTTTATTGTGTTTGTTGGGGTTGTCGCTCGTTACTCGGAAGTCCTTCCTTATGACACCCACAAAATTGACAAAAGCTTTTATATGGGGGGGGGGGGGGGGTGCGCAAAATTTTCAGACAATCTGGTTGAGGCTCACATGCAGGTCTAATATATATACTTCTACTTTTGGCTGAGAACTCTTGTTTTGAGAATTTTGGAATATTATGTTCCTTTACTTTTGTTGCCCTTTGTAAATTATGGGCCGTTCATATTTTATGACCTTTGAACGATCTGAGTTAGGATGGGGACCTCAGAACTCTTACAATTACAATAGAGGAATTAAGCCATGTAGAAACAGATAAATTAATGAATTGCACACACCATACAAAATTTTCTTTTCTTTTCAGATACCTGAGATGTTCACCTGATTTTCATAAACAGCTGCATCAAGCTAATTCCACCTTCCACCATGTGTCTTCTGTTTTGAAATATTTGATGCCTAAAAAAGTTCCTAAGGCAGCTATGTTTGGACCTGGTCTGGAACAGTCGACAAGTGGTCTTGTCCGGAAAATGCTTTATGAGGATAATCAGATATTCACTCGAGTTGCTATGTTCCCAGGACAGTTTGATGGTGTGTATTTTATTTTTCATTGCCTAAATACGGTAATGGATTAATTAGAATTTACATCAATAGCTGAGCAGAAATAAAAATCCTTTATTCTTACTTGGTGTTAACAGTATTGTAACTTTTTCAAAAGCTGTTTCTTTTAAAATACTAGAAAGTCCTTAACCAAATTGCTTATGTAATGTTTAGGGATCTAAGAGTAAAGGAGGGCATATTAATATTGTTTGTGTTTTAGTGTTGCATATAATGGAAAAGAAGAAGACCGCGTGTGTTTATGGTTTAGACTAACTTTAATGAGAATATGACAAGTACAGAAGTCCCCAAGCACCAGGGAAGTAAACAGGAAAAATGTAACAAGAGGGAAGAGAAACGTGTAACACAGAATTAGGGTACAAGAGTGCACCACAGTGTTTCCCATATATTACTAGGCTACATATTTGTGTTTACTTGACAAATATTTTGTTCTCAAATTGAGCCCACTCAAACATATTCTTTTCACTTCTCTGAACAATAATACTCACTCTCGTTGTCACTCCCTCACATACACACAGACAGACATATGCACACACACAGAAATGCTCACACATACATGCACCTTCAACATTCACACATCTCATGCAACCACCCATACCTTAAGTCCCAAGGACATGTTCAGATCCTTGCTTGCATTGTGTCAATGATTTATTTCTGGTGGAGAGTTTGATCACACATCATTGTCATTTTATTTTAAATGATCTTTAATTTTTCAGGAAAGAAAGAACATGCAAGTGAAGCTATAGAAAGTATATTTATTTCTCCCCCCCCCCAGGTGTTGGTGGAGGAATGACATTAAGGCTTGGCTCGGGGCACTCTGTGCATCTCTCAGTTCTGTACTCGGCTTCAAAACAGGAGAGGGAAAACCATGCTGCTGAAGATAGACTGCGACGCAACAAAATGCTGCTGGTATTGTCAAAAGCCATATTAATTTCTGATGGAGTAAAAAAGAAATTGTGATTTGTATGAGATGAACTTGACACCCTTTTTAATTTTAATTTTTTTTTAAAAGAGAGAGGACCTCTGATCTAGATCTAACATTTATCTTTAACAATAATTAATATGGTGTTGCCAAATGGTTGCAGAGCCATGACAACTTCAGAAATTTCAAGAAGGTCCTATTTCAAGTACTAGTAGTAAAAATACCCGTTCTACGAACGGAATAATAATGAAGAAGTATTAGGAAAGTTAAGAAAAGGAAAAAGACTGAAAAATAGGAAAGAAACCAAACATAAATATTTTACCTTGAATTTATCCATGTAGTAGCACCCCCTCTTGACTACCTCTAGGGCCTTGCCCTAGTCTAGGGGTAAGACGTCTTCCCCCTCTTTGAAGGAGTGGCATTTTCTCCTAAAGTTCCAGCTCAATCACTTTAAAAAAAAAGAGTTAGGCCTCATGCCAATTGTTGCTTCATAGAAGAACCTAATCTAGATTCTAGATCTAGCCTAGATCTCGTAGGATTATAAAGACATAGATCTATGCCAATAATTGAAAGTTAAGGAGCCTAGGCCCATAGATAGATCTAAGTTTAGAAATTCACATTTTTAACAACCTAGATTTCTAGAGGTCTATTCACAGCAGGAAAAATCCACTTTCAAGGATACTTTCATGATTCTTTATCTCGATCTAGATTCACCGACAGCCTAGATCTAGACTCTAGATCTATTCACAGTAGGAAAAAATCCACGTTCAATACTTTCATCATTCTTGATCTCGATCTAAGATTCGCTTATATAGATCTAGCCTAGATCTAGATCTTAGAATCTATAATGCACAGCAAGAAAAAAGCCCCTTTCAATATTCAATCGGTTATCGAAATACCACAGATCTAGATTCTACTTTCATTTCAAGATTCTTCTTGATCTCGATTTAGATCTAGATCTAGATTCTAGATGCACAAAATACATTTGTACACTCATCCTTCGGTGTGCGTGCTAAATCCTCTGCAGGAGAAATCTACTCTCAATACTTTCATGATTTGTTATCTTGATCTAGATTAGATATTAGATCTAGACATTGTTGATCTACACCAAAGATAGTAAATAACATGATGGGCCACTCAGCCAAAAAAATGTCCGCAGGAAGTATGCTCTTTGCTTCAGATGGCGCTGCAGTCTGTTTTGAAGCTCTCTTTCGTTTTTCCAGAAGAAGAATAGCCTGAATAGCACCTCCTTGCGTGCACAGATCGACTGCTGTTCATCAGCAGTTCGGGTTCGTTCAGTGCGGAGTTTTAGGTTATTTATATTTTAATGACCTCTCGCCTTTCATTCTAAAGTCAAATTAAACGAAGAAAACAATCACCCTTTCCTCCGGAAGAGGTTTTTTGTCAGCGTAACCATTTTAAAAAAGCGTTCTTCCGAAATTCATTCAAAAACTTGCTAGTTTCACTTTGATTTTTAAAAACTCAAGTAGGATAACTCTGTTCGCAAAAGGTGTGCTTTTGCGAAGAGGGCGCCACCGAATTTTGAGGACACTTTTTTAATTGGCTCAAAGAGAGAAGTGGCCCCTCTTGTTATGTAGACTCATTGTCTACACACAAATACACTGAACACAAAATATCCTTCGGCGCAGTTTGGCGTGGGCACTTAATCCACTGCAGGAGAAATCTACTTTCAATACTTTCATGATTTTTTATGTTGATCTAAATATTAGATCTAGACATACACACACACACACATGCGACTACACGCAGGGCGTAAACCGGGCTGCGATTTGCTGAACCTTTGAAATCTGACCCACAAATACATTAAGTAGGCCTAGCGTAGGCTACTACTTGGCGCTTTCGACGACACCCTCCCTGTCACTCTCACCACCCTCCCTTTGCAGTGCTTTCTGGCCTCCTCTATCCCTCTCTCTCTCTCTCTCTCTCTCTCTCTCTCTCTCTCTCTCTCTCCCAAGGTAGGGTAACATGTATTACTACTTGACTCTTCTTCTTCTCCTTCTTGTTCTCCCCCTCTTCCTCCTCTAATTCCTCGTGCTCTTCCTCCTGCTCCTCCTCCTCCTCCTCCTGCTCCTCCTGCTCCTCCTCCTCCTCCTGTTCCTCCTCCTCCTCCTCCTTCTTCTTCTTCTTCTTTTCTTCTCCTCCTCCATCTACACCTACACCTCCTCCTTCTTCTATGAGCGTTCCAAACCCGCTGTGAGAAGACGGTCAAAAGCGTGAGACCAAAACCGGGAATTCCCGTAAACTTACGTAATGTATAACTGAACACAAAATCCTTCGGCGCAGTCAGCACTCCGCAGTGAATATACAATGTCGAAGCAAATGATGGCGATTGCTACTAAAGGACTGAATTTAACTTAAAATGGGCTGTCTTCTTTCACATTTGATCTTAATGAAAACACAATAGTGCAACACTACGTTTCAAGTTAAGGGTACTGGCAAAATTCATATTTTTTCATTCTCTAGTTTCTGAGAATATACTATTAGCAAAATTTGGCCTTAGCTTCATTAGTAGTAAGATTTGCATGGGCTCTAAATCAAGATAACATTCATTTCACTGATTGCAATCAAGTATGAAATCAACTTTGCATATGGTTTAGGCCTTCTTGTTCATCGAACACAAAATGTGTAAAATTGAAAGTACCTCCCTGTAGGTCTCCATGAAAAAGATTCAAACTTTTTAAAAAGACAGTAAGAGCTCAAATGAATGTGCATTTCATCTGAACAAGTTAGTCATGCGTGTCATTGAGATGCTAACGTCCGTCTGCTTATTTGCTTACATTTTTAAATTATTTTTTTTTTTAGATCAAATGAGTTACATACTTTGGATCCATTCACGTACCAGTAACATTCTGAAGGTCTTACGGAATTTCATTATAATGCACATGTGTAACGTTTTGGTTTATTTAATATTTTCAGAGGTTGCCAGATGGTGCAGAGGGAGATGGTGAGAGTGAACCGCAATATGAGCTGACGCCTCAGATAAAGCATCTGTGTCAAACACTTGACGCTTTTATATTTGTCATTGATTCATCAGAGTCAAAGGAAGCAAGTAAGTCTATACATTTCCAGGATATTTCATGAGTAAACTTTCTTCTGTTATGATATTACTATTTAACTATTAGAACTCTTATAACACTTTTAAAGCCACATAGTCACAAGCACTATATTGACCCCTTACTTTTGTTAGAGGAATGCAGTTGGTCCTCTTTTCTTAATTCATTTTTGTTCAGAACCAAGTTGTTGTCTGCACCTTTAGTGATGTTTTTACTTCAATCAAAAGCTTTCGGTAAGATAATTTTCTGGCTTCACTTAATGGAATTTGATGAACTACTTGCTATTTCTTTATTCACATACAAGATTTTGTTTGTTTCTTTACAGATTTATCCTGATTAATTATTTCTATAACTATAACACTTCTAAACCCTTTGATGTTTTTGCAGTCACGAATGGCAGACTGGAGTTGAATGCTATGATAAGAGAGAGAAAGTCAGCACCACATATCCCACTGCTAGTCCTGTCATGTGTGAAGGATGCGAGTAAGCCGAGACTCCCAGCTTGTGAAATCATCGATTTGCTACGACTGTCATCTATATCTCAACCCTGGCTGGTGAGTTGTTTTTTTTTTTTCCATCTCAGAGTCAGATTGTGACAAACAAGAAAATAGTAGGCCTACCAGTAATTCTTTTGTCAGTTCTCTTTCTGAGATTATTAGATCTGCACTAATAAATTTTCAGCTATTTTCATAAAACTAGGAGTTGTACAAGGCATGGGTTAAATCAAAGCTAGATGAGGACAATGTGAAATACAGACTTGCAAAACGTCATAGCAAGAGGATAATCAGAAGTTCCAAGGAACAGTCATGGAAGGAATATGGCGAAATATCAAGTAAACTGTGCAAGCACTCACCACGACAGTTCTACAAAAGTGTCAAAGCAATGAGAATACGAGATGAACCACACAACCCAACAACAGTAGTCAATGACAAAGATGGAAACCTACTCAATGAAGAAGACAGCATCAAAATCAGATGGCAGGAGTATTTCAGGGAACGCCTTAACTCAAGCTGTCAAGGAAACACAATGAGCTAATTTCAACCACGATACACAGAAGAAGAAGAACTAAACATCTTAAGAATAGAGGTAGGCTACAGCAGGCACTGAAGAATAGCCCAAAGAACAAAGCAGCAGGCATTGATGGCATTACAACTGAAGCCATCCTGGCAGATGGAGAAACAGCAATCACCTGGCTGACCACAATATTCCAAAAAGCATGGAGAGAGAAGAAAGTTCCAGAAGACTGGCAGCTTGCAGTTGTGTCAGGTCAGTCTGGAAGAAGAAAGGCAGCAAGAAAGACTACAACACCTACCAAGGAATTTCCCTTCTGAGCCACACAGTCAGTGAGTTCAAGTATCTTAGTAGCATTTTTTTGGAAGACGGACATCTCAACAGAAAAATTGAAACTAGAATACAAAAGGCTAACAGCGTCAGCTACCAGCTTGCCCCACTCCTCAAACATCCTAATCTCCCCATTGAGACCAAAGCCAAGCTCATTAACTCTTCATCCCCACCTTGACCTACCAGTGCCAGACAAGGACGCTGTCCAAAAGTCTGGAACGTAAGATAACCACCTGCGAGATGAGATGTCTAAGGAGAGCCGTTAACAAAACCAGGCAGGACATGGTCAGAAACAAGATCAGAGAAATGGTGGGAACAACACCTGTCCTCCACTACATTCGAAGACAGACAATCAGGGTGTTCGGACATCTCACATGTATGGCACCTAACCAGCTTGCCAGTAAAGCCTACTGCAGGAAAGTATCAGGGTACAAGGCAAGAGGAAGACCAAGAAAGACCTGGATCCAGGGTGTTAAGGATACCCTGAGAACATACAATATCTCACCCAGCCAGGCCATCAAACTTATTAGAGACAGGAAACTCTTTCTCCCCTCGACACCCTAGGAGGTACAAGAGGACGGATAAAGTAAAGTAAAGTTTCATAAAATTCCAGCAGTGTTCCTGTTTATGCGTTTTTTTAAAAAGGCTGCATTTAATTTTCGTCTGTACCGTCCCAACAATGGTCCCAGAGAGTGTGTCTGATGTCATCACCCTGTTGTAAACCCCCTATTTTCTTCCTCTTTGCTCTCTGTGACCAAACTGCCATGGACCTATTGAAATAAAAGCGTGGTTATTCCTTTGCTTTGTTGTCAGGCAAGAATTCTCTATCACGCTAAAAGTAACCTGGCATAAATCAATTAAGTATAGATCCTCTCATTAATTATACCATCATTGTGTGTTGTCAATGGCAATTATTGTTCAGAGCAAAAATATTTTTGTCTTGAAATTATCAAACTAAACTTAGTTTTTTCCTTAAAAGTTTTATTATCATCTTAAAGTTCACTAAATAGGTGTAGAAATAACATTCCCCCCCCCTCCCCTCTGTTTATTTCACAGGTGATTGACTGCATTACTGACACTCTTGCATCTGTCGATGAGGGAATAATTTGGTTGGTTGATCAAGCGCGGTATAAATAGTATCTCATCCATAACAAACTAAAAAACTGAAAATGTACGAAAGTAGCACTAATGACAGCATGCCCTCAGACTGAAAGGCCGAAGCAAGCGGAGCTGGGCATGCCTTTTTGCTCCAAACCAATCTCCTATCAACAGTGCTCTTGTGTAGATTGTGATCTGAGCTTCAACTGTGAAGAAACTTCCTCAGCCCTCTAAGTCTTAGCTGTCAGAGTATTGTGCCAATGAGATCACAATCTGGTTGTTATGTGGTTTCTTGGACAGAGCTCATTGTCCTTTTCACAGTGTTTTAATTGTACATTCTCCAAATCAAGTTGGACTGTGGCTGTGATACAGAAATGTATATATATTTTATGTGTGTAAACACCCTTTTTTTCCCCCCTCTTTTCATCTTTTCAGATTGATTTTAACAACCTTCTGTTGACCATGCTCTTTCACACAATGTCAAGACTTTTTACTGAACAACGTTATTATTACAAGACTGAACTAATATTAATTGTTTTAATTCCCAGATCTCATCGTTACTAGAATACTCATAATTAGATAGAAATTAAGAGTAGTTGCTTTAATTATTCCATGAAAATAAAACTTTGGGGGTGGCAACGATGATAGACATTAAGTGCAGGCAAATGATAAACCTATGGCAGCATTATATACTCTTGATATTGTCTACATTCCGCAACTAAATTTTTACTCCAAAGTTCCTAAATAACGGTCTTCAAAACCACACCTTGTGAGACATTTTTCTTGTGGGAAGAGGACACTTTGGACTGAGGTGTCCAAATAAATGTTTGATAAAAATGAACAAATGGTGAACACAAATAAGAGTGAAATGCAACAGATTTGCGGGTTCTAAATTTTATTCTTGTGTTATGCACGTGTATTGTTTGTTTTTAACACTTTCCACCCACGCAGCGCGCACAAAACACTTGTCCCCACGAACCGGGATACAGGTGCAGTACATGCTATATCACACCGGCTCCGATCGGTGTCCCGTGGTGAAAAGGGATGGCTTCTTATAGTCACAGGTCGACGTCCTGAGGGGCAAAGTGTTAAAATGCATACATAGTAATAAATTCATACTTACAGAAAAGATTTCTGCAGCCTTCCGATTTCAATATGTGCGGGATAGACTATATATTATGTATGATTTTGTTAGATACAGCAAGGATACAAACAAATTGATTCTGTTGAATTCTGCGCTCTAAAAAATAGTGACGAACAGCCTGCAAATATGGGTCTGCTAAATTCTTGAGTCGGTCAAACTATAGCTGCTACCAGAACGTATGAGGACATGGCTTGAGATGTTTCAAAAACTGCTGAGTATTGTTATCTTTTATTCTGCACAATTACACTTTTAAGTTACAGCATCCCTGTTAATGTATGGTATGCATTGCGAATCTGTAAGACTAAATTACTGTAAGCATGATCTTACTGTACTTGACATGTCACTTGGGAGATTTAAAAAAAAATGTTTTACTTTGATTGTTCCTAGGTCTTTCCCACCCATCTGTTATTTTCTTTTATTTTTGGTTCATTTGATAATTGTTCCTGCCTTTGTTTTATTTGGTAATTGTTCCTGATCAGTTTGCCTGAAAATCATACTGCACTGATACTTTAGTTTGTCCGCAGTAAAAGCGGTCTCCTGAAAACAATTGACTGGTCAAAACAAGGAGTATAAATCTTAGAAATGTACGATGTGCAATTTTAATTAGACATTGAAACTTGTTTCTCCTTTTGATTAGCAGCCCTTTGATAAGTTTTAATAGCACTCTTGTGCCCTCAAGCTGTGATAATTATAATTATGTAGTTTCTGTTTTGCAAACTGTAGCATACTGAACCTGGGCTTTCCTCTCCTTAACCAATTGTAAGCCTATGTATTAATTTTGTTTCTTGCTGTTTAAGTTATTTGTTCTTCTTGCACATTCAGTTAAGCATGAGGAAATGGTGTCAATAAGTTAATAAGTCAATTTCTGAGAAAAGCATTTGTATAAACATTTTTTCCATGTGAAGTTTCTGTTTAAAACTGCATAAATAAAGTAAATATGAAACAGTTACTTATAGCTGGGTACCCATTCTCACCTGGGTGAAGTGAGAAAAATTTGTGTAAAGTGACTTTCCCCAAGGACACATCATCGGGCCCCTGAAGGGATTTGAACCCACAACCGAGTCCGATAGCCTAACCATAAGGCTAGCATCTGCCCTCGATTTTTGGCATTTTTTTAAAACGCGAATCGCGGCTGTGAGTTTTTTCAACAACAAAAAAAACAACACTGCGGGGTATTAAAAAACAACAAAAACGGGGAATAAAAATTGAAAAACTAACAAAAAGAAACCGAACCTCTTTACTTTTAGAAAAGAAAGTTTATTTTCACTTCCGCTTCACGTCGTCTCTTTCTCACCTGTTGACACCATGTTGATTTGTTACTTTCCTGTGAAGAATATAAGTACATTACATTCTATTTATATATTGCTGTTTCTCTTTAATTTTTCCCTCTGTTGTGTTTTAATTTGTTGCTGTGTTAATTTTTTTGTTATTGTTCTGATGTGGGTTATTAATTTTTTTCCCCCATTTATATAGTGTAATGCCATTTAATTTAATGTTGTTCCTACCTTTTTTGAAATATATAAATGTTATATTAGAGCGTGTCTCCACCAAAACCGAATGCAGACACAGGCTAGCCCCTTGTGTGTGATTCCATAATTTACATGTAATATCTTGTACTTTTTTCTTAAATTACACATGATTAGTATTCTTCGAATAGGTGAACACACGCCCTTATTTGTTAATTTTTGTGATTGTTTATGTGCTGTTCTAATCTTGATTTCATTCTGTTGTGAAACCATTATTTTTTCACGTTTTTTCTCTGTGTTGCTACAAATGATATTCTGGATGCTTAAAACAGAGCACAAGAAATTCTGGTGCTTTAGATTAAGCTACCTCTATCAACGTATTACAGTCCGTGCCGGCTTTAAGCATGGTCATCGGGAGAAAGTTTAAGCGTGCTTAATGCCAAAGCGTGCTTGAGTGCGAAGTAGACATAATCCAGAGATTTTCATGTAGAAAATTTCCAGTGCTATTTCCCTTTGTTTGTAAGTAGGCCTATAGCGGTCCTGCAAAAGTGTGCACTGTTATTTTTACCTGCCATAGTAGTTTTTGTTTGCTTGTTTGTTTTTGTTTTGTGATCGAATGGGAAATGAAAACTTAATAATTAAGACGGCCAGTCACGATACAGCACACTAGGCCTATACACTGCCTGTGCGTACTACTGCCCGCTGTGCCACATTCATACCACCGCCTTCATCCCACCTCGCGCGTGATATACAATCAGGATTAATGGATAGCGCGGGTCAAAGGTGAAATCGCAGCCAGCCTCCCTTTCTCGTCACCCCGACTCTCTTTTTATATTTTTGTCTGTAGCTTTGCCCAAGGCTTGATCTTATGTCCACGCGCGCGGTGTGGTGCGTATCTCTGCCTTCCTCTCCGCCCGTGTGAGTGTGTGTCTCAATCACTTGCGTTCTTTCACTTTGTGTTTCTCTTAACACACTCACTGCAGCGGTGTAAACTGTGTTCGAACTTCGATGGGTCATCATCAAAGTATTGACTGTCTTGTAAATGAAGCGTGCGTGAAGCCGAAGTTACCGTGCTTAAACTTAAAGGCGTGTAATTTATATAGCAAAAATTCGGTAAGAGCCATTTAGCGTGCTTGAGTCTGAAATGTGCTTTATGCCGGCGTGCTTAAAGTCGGCACGGACTGTACTATATATGTCATCACAGAGAATTGAAAGTTTGAAAATTAATGGCAACTTCTATGGCAACTTTTACCATTTTTGGTGGCAACTTTTTGACCAAAAAAATGACAACAAACGCAGATGCTAGATAAGACCACCGACTCTACTAATAGAGCATAGTTGACCATGACTTGATACAAATTGTCATATTATGTAAGACATTGTGGTGAAACCAGGCACTCATCAAAATAATGAAATCAAATAAACAGGCATTTTTCTGCCAGTTTGGCAATTTTTATTAAATTTTTTTTTTTTTTTTTTGGTCTGCACCTTTTATGTCCAAGTAGCAACGCATTTCAATGTGAATTTTTTTTTAAATTGGAGAACGATTTCGGACAAAAAATGTGTAAATATTTAGTTTTCAAGGACTGTCAAGCTACTGAAGTGACCAAATTTAGGCCTGGATCGATAACAACAGCCAAACTTTGGCGGCCATTTTCTACATAATTTTTACCTCTGAAATCAGGCGACCCCCACCTTCAAATCGTGAATATCTCTACTTCTATTCAAGATGGATTGGTATCTTTTTCATCAAAAGGAATGCAAATGAACAAGTTTTCAGAGGGTACTACATGTACTAGTTCTATATAGCCCAAATTTGCCGAGTGCTTGATTCCACTGCATCGTGACACACACATGATGTCCAGCTATGATGAATGTGAGGGAAACCGGATCAGCAGACATAGGGGATGTACTGAAACTAAGTGATTTCATACAAGGGAACTGACACTTGCTATTTTGCGTATTAGTCACAATTTTGTTTTTTGGCAAGTCTCTTTTGGGATATATATTTAGACAGGCAAAAATGGTATTCACTGTGTGTGCTTCTTAGTACATTCCTCAGGGAGATTTCGGTACAACAGCGGTGATATATTGTTATGTGTAGATGAACTTACGCGTGTTTGTGTGTGCACAGTCTGCAGAATGGTGGAGAGTGTGTGCATGAATATAATTGTAAAAAGGGAAAATGCAAGGGTATTGATAGTAAAAATTGTGTACACATGATGTAATTATGTAATGTTTACCTACTGTTGACTTCCAATCAAAATAACCAGTTGGTCGAATAAAGTTATTTCTTTTTTATTTGATCTCATCTCGTTTCATAAGGCATTCTGTTTGAGTGTGTGAAAGCTCGATATGGCGCACATAATACCCACTGCTCTTTGGCACCATCTGTTCAGTTTGATAGGCAGGGCTAGCCAGATGTAGGGAGCAAAGTGACCATCATGCCACAATCCGATCATCCAACTCACGGCCTCAAAAACAAACTTGTTTGTTTTCAAGGCCACGAGTTGGACGATTGGTTGGTGATTGGTTTGTATGAGAGAACCTATCTCCCAATAGGCACCGAGTATAAGGTCAGGGGTAAACAAGGCCTGAGTCATAAACCATGAACATCTGTACGTTGGCCAAGCTCGTGTCACAAGCTGCTCGGCTGTACCCTCCACCTGACTTTCTACTTTTTGGAAAAATTGGCGATGGAAGTTTAGTTTTTGTAAGAGTTTTACAACCAAATAAGGTCATAGTCATAGAGATGCTGAAGATTAGAGGTGTTACGAGAGAGTAACAAACACAAAAAAAGAAGGAGAGATCAGGACGATGGATGTTTGATAGGAAAGAAGGAGCAAACCGCACCAGAGCACCTGCCAACCACCCGCTGGGGATGGAAAAAAACAACAAAAGTATCAGGTCTTTTTTAACAGCAGTTGTGCACTTTGCAAAATACTTCTAACCAATTAGTAATTTTAGTTGGCGGGAGTTCTGATGTGATTTGCTCCTTCTTTCCTTACCTCTCCTCCTTTTTTGTGTTTGTTTCTCTCTTGTAACGCCTCTAACCTTCGGCACATGTGACTTTATAATGTTGCAAGAACCGAAAAACTCTCACAAGAACTAAAATTTTAATTGACTACACAACAATTTCATTTTGAAAAGCAGTAGCATGAAAACAAGAATCTGTATGATGTGAACCAAAGGAAAAGACACCAGTGTCTGCGGTGCAGCTATTAGGTTCTTTACCTTCGCATGTAGGAGTTGCGAGTTCAGGTCCAGTGTAGGGAAAATGTATCCCTCTCAGTCAATGTTTGCCTTCATAGACAGGGTTGAAACAGCACACATTTTGAATGATCTAAATTGTATTAATTGAAGTATAAACTTGTACTATATAATTAATCAAAGGCAAGGATGAGTGTTATGCTGTGTCCCTCATGAATTTAATTTATGAGGTGTGCTGACAAAACGAGTTACTTCTCGAATTTAAGCCTTATGGAAGTTGATACTTCAACTTAATAGGTGGAGTTTGTACGATTTGTAAGTATGAAATACTAAAACACACAGTAAACTTGAAGAAAATGGCACCAATTGAAAATCTATAAATCTTACCCCAGTCTCCATTTTCGGCTAATACTTCCTTTCTTGGATTGCGAAAAGTAACTCATTTTGTCAGCACGTCTCACAACTGATCTTTACAGCCCACTTGAAAATATACAGAAAGTTGAGCAAACTTGCAAACTCGTACATTTATTAATCAACATCATTTATTCAAAGCCTCCTGCTCCAATTAGTAAAACAGACATCTCATGATCAGTTACACTTCCACATCGCACAACAAATAAAAAAAAGAAATCCCAATCCATGTCGAACAAACATACATTCTCACGTGAACACGAGCACCAGGTTAATGCTGTCCATAGCAACAGTCAAATCAGAATAACAACAGCTGTTTAATGCGACTGATTTATAGTGATTTGTGATAGCCACCCCTGTACATTTTGAAGGGTTTGTTTTTTTCCACAAATGACTGTTAACATTCAAATTTTGATTTATTCCATACTTTCAGGTAGAAACAAAAACATTTTTTCACCTGCAAAAATAAAAGCTAAATACACAGCAACGAACAAAAAAAAATTAATATATATAAGTGAGCACAAAATTACTCCATTCATGTGGATGAGTGGAAAACCATCTGTCTTGACTGATCATGAATCATAGTGGTATAAAGCAGTGACAGACCACAAGTGTTGTTTTTTTGGAAATTTAAAAAGAAAAAAAAAATGGCATTGAAGTTTAAAGGTGAAGCCTTAAGAAGGTTTAACCAACTAACCATATGTTTAAGCAGGTAAGTGCACCACTTTTGGAAAGGTGAAAGGTCTGTTTGGTGAGTTGTGGTGTTTGTGACCATTACAAACTGCTTGCTATTATTTCCTTTACTTTTTCTTTTACCATACTAGCTAGCAAGGTCTAGAGCTCCTCTTCCTCTTTAAATTGTAATTATCTGTTAATGATAGACAACCTGTCATCATTATAATTACTTGTGCAATGTCTTTGAACTCGAAAGGTCTAGAAAGCAACTAAAAACAAAGTAAAACGAAATTTACTTAGAAAAAGAAGGACTACAGAAAGGGAATCCTCCCCACCCCTATACAATTACTAAAACTAAAACTCAGAGTGCAGTCTCAAATCAAGTTGACTAGGCTGCAGCAATCGACAACATTATCGAAATCATGCTAACCAGTCAACATACATTCTATAAGAACCCACGCTTCCTTTCCACACACAGCTTTCATTCCCTTAAAAACAAACGACAGCGGTCATTCTGGTTTCTTCAAAGACAAATACAGCTTCTTGTTGATTGTCTTCTTGTCTGGGTTGATTTTCTTCAGCAGCTGTACAATGACGGTGGTGATTCTCTCATTGGTCATGTTCAGTTTCTTGGACTTGAATTTTTGCAGCAAGTCTTTCGTTGTCATTGGTTTCCGCATCAAGTACCTCCTAATTGCATCCTCTGATATGCCATCACTGGGGAAGAGAAAGATGATTAATTCTTTTAGCCTCTTGTGTCAACTTGTTTCATTTGAGAAAAGAGAAGCTCATTGATGCGATAATGGTCCTTTAGTGCTGGGAAAAAGCAAGAATGACAGACAGAGACAACAAGGGGGTAAGAAAAGAAGTAGGACCTACAGTTTCAGTAGTATCATCAAACCACCTGCAAACATCTAAGTACAACATCTAATATAGTGGCGTCCAAAAAAAACTTGAAAATGTAATCACCCAATCATCGTTTTAAAGCTTCGTATTACGTACTCATGCAGCATACCAAATTAAAGCTAAATAAATTCTGCATTATCTGACACATGAATAGTCCATCTATGTTAAGACTAAGAGACGCCCAAGATATGGTCACTCAAAATTGACCTTAAAAAATCAGGCTTGGCAAAATTGTAGAATTCAAAGAAACGTAAAATTGTCTTCGCGCGTGTATTGAGGAGCATCAATATAGATAGAAGAAGAATGGACATACATTACATATCAAATGAATGGAGAATTTTGTATTGCAATAAACAATATTCTATTTTGAGATATCTTCTCACGATAGTTTCAAACAGAACGGAAAACAGATAAATCACAAATACCATGCAAAACTTGGATTTAACATTAAATGTGCTCATTGTCATTTTGCTTAGGGGCCATTAGCTTTGTGTAGTGCACGAACCCTTTGGGCATCAACTCTGTTAAATTTGGGACATAATTATCTGTCGTTTCATCCCAAATGTCACAGAGAGTTGCAAACAAAGGGTCTGAATTGGGAGCAAAGTTGCTTTTCTTCAACTGCTGTTTAACGGTGCCACACTCTTCACATATCTGTTGGATTCATATCGGGGCTATAGATGACCACTCCAACATTGATTTAATTTGGTTTTCCAAGTGGCATTAGTCCTGTGAGAAAGTTCTTTGCTACGAATGGAGGTCTACTTGAACTTGAACGACACCATGACGAAAATGAGGGTAAGACATGACGTTCAAGCACTTGCACGGTGTAGTCCACTAAACCAAGCCATCCAGTGATTCTTATTAGGGCCGTTTTGTTCATTCCACTCCAGACCACCCAAAACCAGGGCAGTTTCGAGACCTCTGATCCTAACTGACAGATGATTATGTTCCAAATCTGACTAACACAGTCTATGTTCAAAAAAGGTTTGGTGCTCGACACAAAACCATTTGCTCCTAAACAAAAACAAAAGTAATACTAATGAGAACATGTTATGTCCAGGTTTTTGTGTGATAGTTGTAACTGCTCTATTCTCCAATCTGTTTGAAAATATCGTCAGAAGATGCTGTTCATTGCAGCAACAAAAAATTCCCTTCTCATTTGATATTCAATACATGTTCATTCCACCAATGTTGATGCACTCATATTCACACTAACTCACTTTTAAGTTTCTCGGATTTCGCACAATTTTGCTGAGCCTGATTTTTTAAGGTCAATTTTGAGTGACCATATCCATGGCTTCTCTAGTCTTAACATAGATGAAATATTAATGTGTCAGATGATGCAGAATTCACTCAGTTTTAAATTGGTATTTTGCATGAGCGGGTAGTGCAAACCTATAACATGATGAATGGGTGATTACAATTTCAAGTTTCTTTTGGACGCCATATATGATCAAATATTACAAGTTAGTGATATAGATCTTGATATAATGCCATCCTGCCAAATGAATTTTGACACCATCCAGATAGAGATAACAACATTATAAGGAGAAGAACAAAGGTTTATGCCAAACCCATAATCATGCTTTCATGTTTGAGAAAGTCTGGCCAACAAGGAAAGGAGAATAAGAAAAAAACTTGTGCTTTGCACCTATGAATAAATGAGACGTGGTTTGCACTTTTTGTTGGCCCACTGTGATTTGTATGAGACTGTACACATTCTCTTGTTGTCCCTTATGGTCCTATTTTGTAACACAAAACACTAGACACATACATCAAAACTCAAAACTGAATTTCCTTACCTGTCATCAGATTTATGCTTCTTCACACTGGGAGATTTACCATCGGAGGATTTTTCTGGTTTCCTTTTCAAACCTGTATAATGAAGTAAGAAAATGTTTAAGTCTAAGCATGGTAGTCTGTGGCAATCAAGACAAATACAAACCCAGTTTTGTTATATTCTAATGTTACAAATTTAATCAAGGGATCTAAGAAAACAGGAAAAAAAATGTCCTAGTATAAAATTTATTTGACTAAGTGAATGCAAAAAAAAGTCTACATGATGTAACACCAGGTGGAAATAAAATGACGCAAATACAGAGAGAGTGAGAGAAAAGACTCACAAATAACTTTAAACTAGTCAGTCACTTCAGCAACTGAATTTTTCATACCCATGTGCCGTCTATTTTAAATTATTGTACAGCGCTCAGGGGTTAGTTGCCTAAAGTAATAGAGCATTATGTAGATGCTAATTACTATTATCATCCAGCCTACCCCTTTCCTTCTGCTTATCATTTGGCTGGCTGGGATCAGTCTTGACACCAGCTTCAGCAGACCCAGCATCAGTTTTGTCTTTCTTTTCTTTCTTAATTTTCTTCTGTCCCTGAAAATAAAACACAAAATGAAATATAAAACAAGCAATAAAACAAACATAAGCCTGATGACATTTTAAAAATTCTGGGAAAACAGTAGTGAAAGATACAAACACTAAATTTACAGTACAGTTAACATCATGTGATGAACTTTTGCATCGATTAAAATAACTAAGTCAAAAGAAGAATCCAGTAAGTTGAAGAGAACATCCAATACCAGAAGGCTCAGAGATGGTTCCCAGTCCCAACACCAACACAATGAAAATCAAGATTTTTTCTCGATTATCCAGATGAAACTCTTGTACACTTCAAATCAACCATGTGTGACCAGGTTTTACAGCTTCGTCAACCAAAATTAGTGTCAGTAACTTTATTTTTGCTAAATGTTACATTTAAAATCTAATAATACTAACAAAAGCAGTATTTACTTCTTGATTTCTTGATACAAAAAAAAAGAAATAACAGTTCCATTCCAAATGATCATTATTTCATTGGTAATCATAAGCAAAATCCTTTTTTAAATATATTGCAGAGGTCTGAAAAAAATATCTTCTTCAGCTCTCAACAGTTTTAATGTTTAAAATTGAATTTCATAGGTGTAATGTAATAAAGGGCACCCCAATAGCTTCTCCTCAGTTTAGCTTAGTCTCACAAATGAAAAAATAGAAAACTTATTCACTTCATTAAATAAGCAGTCTTAAAACCTGCAAAACATTACTTTTAACACATTCAAACAAACACTTCAAGTAACTCTTCTTCAGTTCAAAACGAGTCTCTCCAGTCTGTATAGGTAATAAAGCAAAAGTATATTCAGTCCCACTGTTACATAGTTCTCATTATTTTCTTCTTGCACTCAATGAGGAAAAGGCTGTATCAGTTTTCATTAATTTTCATCATTAAATGGAACTCAATTCCTACCTGCAGGAATAATTCTGAGGCCAGCTTTGCATCTTTCTCAATGTCAGAGTCATCTTCAGAACTTGAACTGCTGCTGTCATCAGCCCCTGAATGTGGCAAAAACAACATCAAAGTTTTTTAAAGGTATTTAGAGAAAGAGAAAAGCAGCCTTAAAGTTAATACATTTAACATTCAAGAATCACGTTCTATCAACGAAAAAGTGGGCAAACTAACAAGACCATCTCAAGTCAGATTGTAAATGCATAGCCAATCACAGAAATAACACCACACTCTGTCTGGCGCAATGTTTAATGAATCATAATATTATCAGGAACCCAAGCATGTTGCACACTATTGAATGGTAAAGTGATCGCTTTTTCTATGACATGTGATATAAACACCCACAGCTACAATGGTATTACATTACAACAAAACACAAGCTGGTGAAGAATGTAGCATGTAACTATGCAAAGAAGCAGTTCAGCAACTTTTCTATGTTCAACGTTTCCACAAGTTAAACATTACTTTTTTATTACAGAAAATGTACACCATTTTTGTAAGGATCAATATTTACAAGACAGTGCTGTAGAATGTATTACACATAATAAAGAATTTCACGACATACCTTTCTTTTTCTCCTCTTTCTTTTCTCCTTCTTTTTCAGCAGGCTCTTCCTCCGGCTCCTCCTTTTGAGTTTCCTCCTCCTCTTCGTCTTCCGCCTCCGAGTCCAAGATATTTCTCAGCCCTGCTTCCTGATCCACACCTTTCTCGTCATACTTGTTTCCTTTCCCTTCATCTTCCGGCCCAGAAAAACTGCTAGAGCTACCAGAGTCTGACATATAGTCCACCTGGAAATTTTTTCATTTGCATAAGTGGGTGAAAAAAATAGATTTGTATGAATTATATCAGCTGATGTATTCTCAGACGAAAGCTTTTAAAGTTATTTATAGACCCAAAAAAGGTGCAAAAAAACATTCTAAAAATTAGCTGCTTCTATACGAAAATCTCAATCAAAACAGAAAAAAAAAGTCAAGAGATTAAATCTGATTGTGTATACATTAATCAAGCTAATACAGCAACTTGTAAAATGAACCTTCTGTATCAGTTTTCCAATTCACTTTCTAGGCAGACACCTTTTCACCGTAACTTTTACAGCAGCGGGTTCTTTCTAGCCCTCTCTTCCCTCCAGCCCAGGAAACACTGGATTCCAAGACTCCTCAGGTCCAGCCAACACTCATTGTGTTTGGTGTTTTTTGCAGACATTTTAAAAAATGTTATATTTCTTTTGTTTGAAGTTTTAGAAGATATCACATAGAATGTTTTTCAGCGACAATTAGATAGATTCCAGTAAAAATACCTGACGGAGTTTCAGTGGGCAGGTGCCCTATGAAGGACATATATACGTGACTGGGCTTGGGGGAGGAGAACTTGGGAGGGAAATATATATGACTGGGACTGTAAGAATTGACAGGACACTTTATGAGCTTGACTATCACAGCTGTAATATCTTTCTTGTAAAATTACTTCAACAAAACAAATGAAAACTTTGCAAATCAAAGATGATATTTGCCATGACAAAATGATTAAGTTAGTCAGTGTCAAAGAGAATGGTTTTCTTAATGTGCCTAAAAAGTGCTATCCGTTCAAGCTCACTTCTCTGTCATCGTAGTCTCCTTCATCACTTTCTTCAATAGCTTCATCATCAGAATTCTGTTTGGCATTTTTTGACTTTTTCTTCTTGGCACCCGGTTTAGGTTTCTTTTTCTTCTGTGGTTTTCCTGTTGAAAAAAAAAAAAGACATGTATGGCTTTACAACCAGTCAGAGTTAGAATTTATTCATATAAAAAGTTTTCAACCAGCCTTGAGACTTACTAACGAAAAAATGTACCACTACTTTCATACCATGATCAACTTAAGAATGACTTTAAAAAATACTTCAATGATAGTTATTTTACATAATGTGTAAAGTACCAATGACCTTCATTAACAAAAAAAAAAGTAACCAAGACACTGTAGGTATGGTCAAATGTTCCTGCAATGAGAATAGCACTCTTCATTCCAAGAGCATCAGGAATCATTTTTTCACTTCTTATCACCAAAAAACCATAGACAGAGAAATAGAAATGCGAACTCGAAAAGCCAGCCAACGCTGTCACCTACCAGCTCATACCCCTATCTCATCCAAACATCTCCATGGACACAAAGAGACAGCTTATCACCTCAATATTCATACCAACGTTATGTTATCAGTGCCAGACCTGGACCTTAAGCAAAACCCATGAAAGCAAAATCACCACATGCGAAATGAAATGTCTCCGCAAAACCCTTAACATCACAAGACGAGACAGGCAGAGAAATGAAGAAGTAAGAGCAGCTATCGGCACTGAGTCCTGCCTTGCGTTACATAGAAAGACAGAGAGGATAAAATGGTTTAGCCACCTATTACGCATGTCACCCGACCAGCCAGCCTCGAGAGCCTACAACACCAAGCCCTCAGGCTATAGAGGAAGAGGAAGGCCACGCAAAAGGTGGATCGAGGGTGTCAAGGAAACCCTAAGAAAACATAACATCACAACTGAAAGAGCTGCGGAGCTGGCCTACCATAGAAAACTGCATCTCCCCTCAACGCTTAACGGCAACAGAGGATGAAAGAGCAAAGTAATCATTTTAAAAAACTGTTATCATACATATTGAAAGAGTGTCACGTTGATAATAAAAAATGTTTATCATTGATGAAGGACAAGGGTAATTTCTATTCCTTTTTCTCTTTTAGAAGGTATGATCTTCATTTTTTCAATGTTCTGTATTCTCTACCTTCATTTTTCACTATCTGGAAGAGTTTTGCATCTCTTTCCAGACAACTTTCTTTACTGAATACCTTTCACCCTTCCTATTTAATTCTTTCTTAAACTGTAGCTTTAGAAATAGTAGCATCCACAAATTTCTTTTAATCATCTCTGACCAACAATCCATCATTCTCAACTATGAGCCAAACACACTTTATAAAAAAAACAACACAAAAAAACACCAACAAAAAAAAATAGAACCCCCCCACCCCCCGGTTATACAACAACCCCCCACTTCCCCCCCAAAAAAACCCCAAGGGCTAACCATCTGTGTCATCATCTTTCTCTCCATCGCTGTCATCATCACCATCGTCATCAGAAACTTCCAAATCATCCCAGTCCTCCATGTCTGTCAAGATCTGTTTGAGAATCCATAAAATTTCATTTTAAAAAATGGAAACAGAAGCTCACCTTCTCCTATTAACAACAATAAACATGTAAAAGATAGACCAGTGAAAACATACACAAATGCATATTTATGTAAAAATATACACGTAACTTTTGCAAAAATTTACTAGGCTTTCATAATCTTCAAACTTTCATGTGAGAAAAAAAAAATTCATAAAAAATTGATACTTAAAAAAATTCTTCATAAAATAGCTCGATCATTTGTACGCCACCATTAACTAAGCCAAGGTTTAATACACTAAATAAAACACTGCAAGAGGTGTACCAGTATTGTCTGAGATGTTCATAGCCTTGAATTTGTAAACAAAATTCTCATGATGACCACATTTTAAATACAAACCTACACAAGCACTACAACTATGACAGGAAAAATAAATTAATCAGAAGGAATTCAATCAAGATTTGATACAACATACACATTTTCGACTCACCAAACCCTTTGACTTCCTTTTCCCGCCCTTGCCCCCTTTCTTCTTTTCATCTCCATCATCATCTACATTGTCTTCCTCTTTCCGATATCGCTTTTTCAACATGATACTGAAGTAATTCAGAGTCCTGTCACGCCTGAGAGGAAGCAAACAAAATGAAGTTCAAAACAAACATTACAGTAGGTACCAGAAACTAAATTTTCAAACTAGCTGTATGCCAAATTTATTTGTTCCATTTAAAAGGCCTATATCCACTGAGCATTTTGGTACCATTCTTTAACCTCTCCGTCAATTTTTAAGAAAATTGTAGTAGTTGTTTAAAATTTGATCAAATTTGTTGAAGTCAGTCACAGGCTGCAACCCCATGTTTGACAGACAATAAAAGAGTACCAAGTGCACTAAACATCTCCACATTAACAGACAATCACTATAACAAATATATGGAGCCTAATTTTTTTCAAGACTCTGAGATCTTTACAAATCAGTATTTTATCGCCTCAAACACGATGATCTGTCGTTATTTCGACAAAAACACCGAGCGTTGACCCCGCCGGCGCCGCACCGGCCCCCGCGGCGAGCGAGTCGGCTCTATACTGTAGTGTACCCCTGTGCGGGGTCACATGCTTTCCGAGTCTTGCGGAAGGATTGATGAAAAATAATTCCAAGCTAATAACTTTATTCTAATAGAAAATGAACTGATCTTTTAATTGATACCTGTTATAAGTTGGTATTATACATATTTTGTGTAAAAAGGGATCTTTAAACATTTTGACGGTATTTTTAAAAGTTTTCTATAAAGATGCCAAAGGCTAAACTTATATCACGGGAAAGCCCGTTTAAAGCTCTACAGTTCTCCGCCAATGAAAAGACGGTATTTAATCATCCCTCGTTCCGCGAAGCATTTGAATGCACGCGTGTCAATTTTTCAATCGGCCGACCTCGCATTCTGACCGCGAGGGGCTTCGCTTTCCTCGGCGATTCTCCAGCTCCTAATAATCGGACATATAAACAACTTACACCATTGTAACGAGGAAAAGCTGAACTTTTACAAGGTGTACGGCATTTGGTGTTTTATAGCGAAAGAGCAAAGAAACAGCGATCGGAATTACCCCGATTTTACCTATACCACGCGGTCGGAAGGCCGCGAGTGCCCGCGAGGCCGTGTTTACGCTACCTAATTACAGTATACAGTATCTGTTAAAGTAATTGAAATCAATCCTGCGTAAAAATGGAAACAAACAAATAAAAAATTAAGAGACCCCAAAAAGGGGAACATGAAAAATGCGAGGAAACAAAGACTTTGTAACATCAAACATTTTCCAAGAAAGTGACAATTTATGGAAGCGTTTTCGCTAAACTTTAAGTAAAATTTGAAGAAAAAATTAGCACATTAACCTCACAGCACTAAGTGCACGGAAAAGGAAAAACAACGACATAGATAGAGAAGCAGCAGAAGGAAAGAAAAGAAGGAGGACACACCACCTTCTGAAATACGACAGTGCCCCAGCAGTGTAAAAGACACAGAGAGAAATGGAAGACAGCTCTCCATCCATTACAATCAGAGAATATCCATCGGGCCATTTACCTTCCTGATCTCTCCTCCTTTCTTTGTGTTTGTTACTCTCTCGTAACACTTCTAATCTTTGGCATGACCTAATTGTGTTGTAAGTACCGTAAAACTCTTACTAAAAGTGAACTCACTTGCTGTATTCCTCTTCTGCTTCCTCGGAGTTGAGGTACTTGTATCGTACAATAGGGCTGAAGTTGTACCACTCTTCCACTGGGTAAGCCTCAAATGCTCCATCAGTTGCCTTCGTAAAAATATAGTAGGACGTATTCTCTGTGATGCCTCCTTCTCGCACTCCTTTGTACCTATTTTATTAGATGAACCCATGGTAAATAAACGATAGGCAGGAATTCCATGACTGGCTTTCCCTGTATTTTATTGAGACTTTGCAAAGTAACTTCAACGCTGGATATATGCTATGGCTCTAGAATTAGAATATCCCACAAAAAGAATTTGAACCAAACTGAAAATTTCTTATTAAATTAGAGTTCCTAGACCCCTCACACTTGTCATATCTCATAAGTTCAAAGCTACTAAAAATATTCTGTCTTTTGAAACTTTAAGAGGTCTTTCAAAGATAGTACTAAACAACATTTAACGTACGGTGTGCAGGAGCTTTTACAACATAATATTTTACTTTAAGAATTCCTCTACATTAAACAATTTGATCAGAACAGTCTCCTCAGAGGTGATATTTTACCTGTCCCTTGAGGAAGTCAATTTTGCCTCTCAGACTAAAGTAACATGTTTTGGAAGGTTATCCTGATTTGACTTTATTCAATATAAACAGTAAAAAAAAACTGTTCAGCCCATATATACAAGCTCTTGACACTCACCTTTTAGCCTGTTTTCCTGAGCCAGTCTTCAGAAGCCAAGGCTGGTCATCAGGGTTGTACTTTTTCAGCATAATTCCGTATTTCTTCCTCCGTGACTCTTCTTTCAGGTCTCTGCCATACTCGCTCCCAGCCCCAAACTTTGGCAATGTGTCCAGATCATTAGCCGTCCTGTATTCTTTCACATTATTTTCCCTTTCAATCTTTACTGATTGCTGATGATGGAAAACAAGACACTTTTTATGATTATACCCAATGAAAGACATGTTCAGTATCGGAAACTGAGGTGTATCAAGGTTCTTAAATTACAAATATTTTCATCTTACCATAGAGGGAAAAAAAATATAACAATAAATTTAAAAGTTGGGCGTTTTTTCCCCTTAAATTTGTGCATCTTTGGGTTGGGTTGGGGGGGGGGGGGAAAAGTGCACTTCTGCCTCTGCAGACACAAAAAACAAAACAAAAAACCCCCAAAAAACTTACTTCTCCCATTTTGGCAAAGTCAATTGCTGTCCCGGTGCCAAACTTCATCATAGTGAATTTCTTTCTTCCATCTCTGAAAAAATTGTAAAGACAAAGACAAGAAAGACATAATGAGCAGGTATTCAACAGGAGGCAGATTAATATTCTTCAATCACATTATAATCTTAGGTAGGAGGTTACAACAATGAATTTCCTTCACTTTGAAATCATATCTTTTTTCCTTGACTCACTGTCTACAAGCACATGAACCAGATTTTATGCATACATGATGTGTAATAGTACATGATATAAAACATCCATAAGACTATGCTGCTAAATAAATCATCATCCAAGCAGAAACTGGTAGGCTAACGTTAAGTTTGAAGTAGATCTACAGAAGCCTTGAAAAAATCAATACCAACCTAGGAATTCTCACTGTGAACTCTTCCTGAGCAGAACTGGAAGGCCCAGGCCCGGCACCTGAACTCGAATTCTAAAAAGGTGAAGAAATTAAAATTAGATGTAAGCACTAGGTGTCCTCATACAAGCTGCAGGGTCAAGCAGCTAGCAAATTATTGTGACAGTAAACTATATTTTAATGTGAAGTCAGTCTTGTTGTATGGATGTGAGACATGGAATGTATCTCAAACTTGCATAAAAAGGATCTAGGTTTTCTAGAACAAGTGTCTAAGGAAGTTACTGAGGATCAGATGGACAGACAGGATCACCAACGAGGAAGTATCAAGAAGAACGAGACAGAGCCCAGTCAGAGATGAGGTGGGAAGACGGAATTGGCGATGAATTGGACACACTTTTAGGAAGTCAAGCAGCTGCATAACAAGAAAAGTGTTACATTCATTGGAACCCACAAGGTAAAAGATCAAGGGGAAGACCACATGGAACTTGGAGAAGAGTTACGGAAATGGATGTACAGGAAAGTGTGAAGACATGGAGTGACATCAAGCGACTAGTCCAGGATAGGGAAAGGTGGAAAGTGTTTGTCCGTGGCCTATATCCTGATCCAGGGTGAGAAAGGCAATGATGTTGATGAAACTATATAAATATATAGATCTATATTTTAACAACATAAAAGGTTGACCAAAAATCAAATTATTAAAAAAAAAATAAAAAGTCACAAGTCCCACCTGTTTAGCCAGCCTGGATGAGCCCCAATCCCTTTGGTTTAAAAAACAATTATATTCCCCATGAATCTGGTCTCTAATTTTTCATTGTTGAAAAGATAACCCCCTGGCTAGTCAGTGAAGGGCCCATCTGCAAAGCATGTAGAGCAGACAGCTCCTTTTACTTCTACTGCTGACAGGCCCAACGCCTTTTATCAAGTTTGAAAACTCTTTTTTTTTTCATTCTGTGTGGATTTTAATGAAAACATTGGTCAAAGGCACAATAAATTTTAAAATTGTAGTTTCAGGACATTTAAACTTTGATTCATAATAAACTTTTGCGGCCATTCTCTCACTAATATTACCTGCTAGCAGACCCCTACCTCCTTCAATTACAACCTAATATATTCTCCACTTCTCAAGATAGATGACATATCTTTTACTTCAAACACAAGACAAATTTATATAAAAGCAAGCTTTAACTATCAATAACTATAACTCCATATGCCCTAACATCAACAAGTGACTGATTCCACGGCGTCATGACACAATATATAAAGTTTTATAAATAATAGAGTTTGTTGTGTATACTGTGTTCAAGAAGAATAACATCACGCATCACACATTTTAATATAGAAATTGGTCAACCTTTTCTATTCTTTACCTTTAAGGCCAGATCTATTCGGACTTGAGTACGATTAGATTTTTAAATCTTTTCGGACTAGAGTCCGAATTATTGGGTTTTATCTATTCGGACTCAGGTCCGAAAAAAAAAGTTTCATTTATTCGGACTCGGCTTCTAAGTGAGTGTAAGGAGTTTACATAATATAACTGTCATCGGGGTATTTTACGTAAAATAAGAATTAGAACTAAAATTACCTAATAATAGGGCTGTGTAATTGTGTCAAAAGTCAAAAGACTGCACTCTCATTGTCCATTGATAATGGCAGTGTCTAAGTACACGGTAACCGACAGCTCAGGATCTTTCCACCACCACTGCAGCATCATCTTTACTTCTATCACCATTTGTCTTTCCACACGTGTAATTATGTTTTGTTGTGTGTTATAGTTTTTCTGTAATTAATATTTTAAAACCGACAGCCGTGGCCTCTTCCCAACACCTCTTCCCCCAGCAAGCCGAGAGTGCGAAATCACTACGCGTAATCTCACTGGTTGACATAATTAGTTTTGCCCCGGAAAGGTCAACTCAACTTGGTTGTTCTGTTCATACGAATGATGCAGGGAGGGAAAGTTTAGACAGGTCTAGATCTACTAACTAGATATTAAAGCTCATGTCTCGATTGTTATTATAATTGAAAACATTTTCATAAATGCTGGAAATACTTAGGAACAAAGGTCGGAAGTAGGAATGGATGTCATGCTGGACTCAATCCAGAGTCCGAAAAAATTTTCAAAGTGGCTACTTCTCCGAACACTCTGGAAAATAAACTTGACCTCTATTTCTCCAGACGGTTTCCTTTCTTGAGACTTTTTGGTTATTTTTTGCGAGAGTTCGGCGTCATTCTGCCATATTGCGAGGACTGGGAAGAAGCAGTTTTTGCATCGAATTCAATTTCTAGAGCTAGAGATTTTTAGATGTCTGAAAATTCAGATACTTCAACTGTGGTTGGGACAATGTTCCAGAACTATACTTCATTTGAAAATGCCTTCAAAAGGTAGGCCAACTGCGAGAACACCTCCTTTGGCTGTAACCTGTTTTGCATTAAGTCACCCCTAAAGCAAAAACTATTTTTAAAAAAAAAGGCCAGCTCTATTTCTCCGAACGTTCGGGAAAA